TGCGTGCCCACCTGGTGCCCGGGGAGGACTTCACCTGCTGTGCATGGACATAGACATGTGAAACTGCCACTGTGCAAAGGACTGACACAGGTTGACAAAGAATTAAATGGGCAGATGGATGAAAGGCAAAGGATACCCGAGGAGAGGGTCCACCCAGCTGCCTCCCTGGCCTTTCTGTCACCCCTGACCTCACAAGGGTCAAGTCCTTGTGTTTTGAACCTGCAGTCCTTGTGCTGACTCAAGATCTCCAGCCTCTTTTCCTGTGCCCCCACCTCACTTCTAGCCCCCTGTACCACCCTCTCCAGGGACGCCCTGGTCATCATAGCCTCTGCTATCCTCGAGGTTAAAAGTCCAGCCCCCAAGTCACCTCCCAAGTGGAGGCTTGTCCAAGAGCCACGGAGGCAGGTGTTCCTGCACTACTGGCCCTGGTCTGGTCCCGAAGGAGTAGACGGACCCACAGGAGTCGCGGGACGAAGCGGCATCAGGGCGATGACATTTACAGAATAAAGAACCTCCCGTCGGCCAGTGCCCTGGCATCAGGAGAGCTGTAGGCTCCCTGTTGTACAGGTGAGAGCTCAAGGTGCCAGGAGGTGAAATGACTTTCCCAAGGTCACGGGCAGTGGGAGAGGGTGGCAGGCAGACCCTGGCCTCGCCCCAGGCCTGTCCCTGCTCATCAGCCCCACAGGAGTCGCGTGGCGAAGGGTGCCAGACATTTATAGAATAAAGAACCTTCTGCTGGAGTGAAATGATCCTTTAAAAATGATCCCCGGCTCCCCTCGTTACCTCTGGAGACCAAGTCCTCGCTGATTTCCCCCCCATCTTTATCTCAAATACATTTAAATGTCAATTAAATTTGAAATATCTACATTTGTCAGCATTTCATTTTGGGCCAGCGTGACGTGCAGCTGATTTGTCCACGCGATGTGACACATGAAAAAAACTCTCGAGATGCAGGTCTTCCTCATTAAAAAATAAGCCGCGCGGTCCCGGCTCAGCAGAGCCCCGAGCACGTCCCCGCGCCTGACGCCCTGCCTCTGACATGGTATTTAAAAAGGAACAGCCGTACCTGTCACCACTGTCACACGCACACGCTAAGCGGCGACACGTTAAACCAAACATTAGGAAGGGCTCGGGAAGTCATCTGCATGGGGACTCCGCGCCGAGACGAGGCGGGCAGAGGCGGGAGCAGGCGGGGGACGCCAAGGCCCGGACGGTGATGGACGAGGCTCCGGCAGCCCTCGCTGGGTAGCCAGGTTCGCCGCTCTCTGCCTTTCACAGACAGCTCTTTGTGGCTAATAAAATCCAGCGAGTGGTGGGTGGCAGACTGCAGGGTAGTAGCTGAATTGGGTTAATGAGGCAAGAGGTACACTTTTTTTCCCCCCAGATTCTGCCTTAAGCTAATAAAAAATTTAAACCTGGACGTTTTCGACGGTTCGTCCTTTATCTCTGACAAATATCTGACTGTTTCATGGGAAAACATGAGCCGCTGAATTTCAATAGGTTTATTTTGAAATCTCACCTTTTATTCAAAGCAGGAGGGGAAACACCCCTGCCCCTCATTCCATTGTCTCAGATCCACCAGGTGGAGGAGGCAGCATCGCAAAGAGGCTTCAAGCCCAGGTTCAGTTCCAAGCTCTGTTTTGAGCTGCTGTGTGACCCGGGGCAAGTGACTCCCACTCTCTGAGCCTTGGCTTTTTTTCAATCTGCAGAGCTAGCGTGTAATTAATAAGGAATTCACGAGAAACTGGGAAAGCGTGTCACCTGATGCTTGTAAGCACTGTCGTCTTCATTCCCGGGACCCGAAGTCTGGATCTGAAAAAATTCATCGGACCAAAGCACAGGCAAACTCCCAGCCCACACCCGGTGATCTGTCACGCTCAAGATGGGGTGTTCAGGAGACACCCTGGGCCTCCCATAGCCACTGCCCAACCGGCCTGCCCTGGCCTGGAGAGCTGACGAGAGAGATGTTTGTGGGCTAGAAATCAAGACTCCCTCTCTCCACCTGCCCCAAGATCATGCCAGTGCGGAGAGGCCCTGGATTTTGACAGTGACATGAACTGCAGCAACCTGGCTTGAAGGCACGGCCGGCCTGACCCAAGCCCACGCGCTCTGTGACGCCCGACACGCTGCCAGGTTCAGCGCATCCAGCGCGCGTGCCAGCGTGAGCGCTTCCTTCTCAAAGCCAGGGCAGGGGCCATTCGTGGAGTGCTGTTTGGAAGGCCTTGGGGACACACTCACGGGCCGCCCAGGGCGTCATTCAATCTGACCCAGGCAGCGGTGCACGTCCCCTCGTGCGTCCCCTTCTATGCACCCACCACCAGTCCTGCTGCTGGGTGGATGGGCACGTCCGGGCCAGCTCACCTGATCTCACTGCTCTTCACCTGTGAGTCCCACTGCTCAGCTGGCACTGGCCCTGCTCACAACAAGCACTCGGGAAGCATCTCTTGGGTGGGCAAATGGCTGGACAAGCTCATGACCATCCGCTCCCCCCTATAGAATATACATGGTGATGCCTTCCTGCTGGGCTGCTGGGAGGGGCAGCGATGACCTGTGATGCCGGGCACAATGCCTGTCTGTGGATATTGCTTTAAATATTTTCCCAAGCTTCCTGCCTATTGCTGTATCCCTAATACCTTTATCTTTGTGATCCCATTTTATAGGTCTTAGCAATACAGGAGAGATGGGGGACCCCGCGAGGGGGCACTCTATCCTGCAGCCACCAGCTAATGGAAGAGACACTTGCGGCGGGGCCCCCAGGAAGGTGGGGGTGCGCCTTGTGTCCCCAGCAAGCTGGCTTCCATTCATTCCATGAGCAGACTTCCGCTGTGCTAATGCTGTGCCCCGGGTAGGAAGGGAAAGGAAAACCAGCCGTGTCCTTGCCCTTGTGCTCAGCTCAAAACTAGAATTGCAAGAGGGAGATGGTACTGACAAAGGGCTAGCACAGCCCAGGGAGAAGCGAACTCGGTCTAGCTAATTCCTAGGGGACCCCAGGAAGGCTTCCAAGGTGCGCCACTCGAGCTGTGCCTTCAAGACCGAAGGGCAGTTGGTCACCAGAGACAGCAGGAGGAGGCCTCAGGTGTGGATGGGCCAGGCATCTGCAGAGCCCTGACCGGAGCAGCAGCTTTGCAGGTGCTGAGCAGAGAGCGGCAAGGTCGGGTTTGAGAGCCAAATAGGTTCCTGCCACACCTTGTTGCTGTCTGGGAGCCAGGATGTCGCGTGCCCAGGACAGCCAGGCACATTTCTGCAAGTCGGAACCTCCTGCCTGCCCTCCCGAGTCCAGAGGGAAATGCTGCCTGTCAGCCGGTGCACCCTCCAAACCCACAAGTCCGAGGTGGGTCTTGTCCCTAAGGTCCCTAAGGCCTGGAAGAGAAGGAGCTCAGTGACCACGGGCCCAGTGGCCTCCCCTTGCTGCACCTCAGACTCTCTGTGAGATGAGGCTGAAACCCTACCTGGCCAGCTTCCAGGGGTGATGGAGGATGCTGGGGCACAGGAGTTAAAGCGCCAGGAACTCTGCCACCCGGAGCCAGCTTGGCCTTCCTCTTACAAGAACAGCATATTCTTCTGTGATGGTTGGTCTCAGCAGAGGCCTGCTCCCGGGGATGGACGCCAGCCTTGCCCTCCAGCTGTGCTTCTCACGCAGCTGTGTGGGACACGTTGCTCTTCCCTGAGGAATTGCGTCCCATACAGCCAGGAGAGGAAAGGCTGCCAGGCACCCTGCATCTCCCGCCCAGACCTCGTCGCCAAGTCTGGGGATCCTCAGTGCAAGCCTCAGCCCACTGTGCTGCCCAAGGGCCCAAGAAGCAGCCCGCGGGACAAGGATTTGAACCGAGGTCTGGCCAGTCGGCGCCCCTCACGCCCCTGGTGCCCGTCAGTGTATAATTCATGGGAGCCGGGCGCAGAGCTGCTCGGGCTGTGTACAAGTTTGTGTTTATAGAGGGAGTGCTCACAGGTGGCTGACGAGGGAGATGTATTTTTTATAACAATGAATATTTAATTCCCACATCACAGATGAAAAAGACTCTCTGAAGAGGCATCTGAGGGAGACGCCAGAGAGCGGCCACTCATCAGGAAAGGGCCTGCCGCCCGCCCTGAGCATGGCTGGCTTTCTTCTTTAGCTTTGTGTTTGTTTGTTTTTTTCCTGGATATTGAAGATACAGAAAAGGAAAGGGAAGCAGGCCCCTGAGTCACCCATCGTCCCACCCACCACTGTCAACACTTAGGCACCTGCCTTTCCAGTCTTTTTTCTAGGGGTCTTTCTTCAGGTGACTCGACAGTGCAGGGAAAGCATGGCACCTGGCTTCTAGATTTTTCTTTTTTTAAAGGGATTTTTTTTAAGATTTATTTTTATTTATTTATGCATATTAGAACTGGGGTATAGGCCAGAGATGAGGGGAGTAAGAGGATTCACCAGAGACAGAGCGGGGAGCAGAACAGGCAGACTTGACTGAAACACACTGCTGAGGGGAGCAGCGGGCGCGGCAGGAGAGGTCTGCTGCGCCATGTGGGTAGCTCCCTGGCCAGGGATTGAACTCAGGCTGCATTGGCTGGTGATAGCTTGACAGCACTGAGACTTTAACCTCTGCACCACCAGGGAGGCCCATGATCTCTGGATTTTTCCTTGGGTTGAGTGGAGCCCATTGTTCAGTCAACATACGTACTTCTCGGATCCCTGTTACCAGATTAGACGGCGTCACATTTTAGTACAAACGCGGCAGCGCTGAGCGGTCCGCAGAGCTCTTTGCCGCCTCGGGTTATGTGAGGAAGTGGCCCTAGTCCCGGGGGTCTGATCATGTGCTTCAGGCTCTTGACAACTATGATGAACCCACAGTTTATTGTCTGCTCGGGACCCGCTTCCTCCCCTGGGGCCTGTCAGGCCCCCCGACACCCTCCCTCTCCAGGAAGCCTCACCCCAGGCTGGCCGGAGGCCCCTTCCCAGCCTCCCGGGGGCTCCCAGAGCACCTCCTAACTGTTCTCTTCTCTCTTGTCTCCCTCCGTCCCAGCCTGGTAAAGCCCTTGCGACACTATGCTGTCTTCCTCTCCGAAGACTCCTCTGACGAGGAAGGCCAGCAGCAAGAGGGCCCCGGCTCTGGCTTCACCGAGAGCTTTTTCTTCTCCGCTCCCTTTGAATGGTCTCTCCTTCCTTCCTCCATTTCCCTGCGCTTGGCTTGGTGACTCTTGGGGCTGCTGGGGTGGGGGTGGGCGTGGGGGAGCTGCTTGGCCTCATGGGGAGGGGGGGGCGTCTGGAGCTGCTGTCTTCCGGTACCCCGGTGCCACCTGTCAGGACGGGCGCCGCCTCGGGGTGCCCCCTCCCCGGGCCTTCTTTCCCTCCTCGACCAGTCCTTTCCTCTCCAGCCCTGTTTGTCAGAGCTGGGCTCGAGCAGAGACACCGGCTCCTCTGTTCCCGTTAACAAGATGGTTTCGTGTTTTTAATGGGAGCCTTGCAGGACAGGGAGAAGCTTTCACTTCACACCCCAGGCCCTCTGTGGAGTGAACTACTATAGCTTCTTACAGACGCGGGGCTCTTCCCTCTCCAACCCCATTCCTGAGTCCCAGCATCAGGGCCCAGCTGGGCTGTGCCCTCTCCCTGGGCTGGGCCCCTGGGGTCCTGCAGGGACTCTACACAGCTCCGGCTCCTGCACCACCCCACCCGGCTGGAGGGTTCTGGCTCTTTCTGCCACCAAGCTCCTCTGACCGCAGGTGAACCGACCCCCTCCTGGGGTCCTCACTTAGAAAGTGGGGCTTCTCCAGCCTTATATGCCGCCTCTCCTGTCCACTGAGTCTTTTTCTTTAAAAGTTTTTCCTTTAAAAATAAAAAATCAGCCTTGCCCTCAATAGTAATAGCTCTGATATCATAGGCTTGCTTTTATCATAGCTTTTATTTCTGTAACTAATTATAATAAAGGTATAACCACTGGAATAAGAAATGTATCCCCTTAAAATCACCTTGCAGGTACAGACTCCTGCCTGGGTGAAGGCCAAGGAACCCCAGCCCCACCCCACCCCACCACAGAGGCCGGCGGGTCATGTGCTTGATGGATGAATTGATGCCTTAATTTATTTAAACAGCAGAAAAGGCTCACTCCCTTAGCCGTGACCTGTGGGGAAATACAGGTGTGTGTGTCTTTAAGACAGAACCGGCCCACCTTAAAACACAATGGGTTCCTTTCTAAAAACACGGTTTCCCGAAGTAAGTAGCAGGCTGCCTGTTCTCCATCTCCTTCACCGTGTTCAGACTAGGACAGTGGGTCGGCTGGCTTAGTCCACGTGGGTGAAGTGTCTCATGCTTGGCTCCCACTTCTGCCTCGTCGGGTGCTGTGTGGCGTAGAGTGAGTTACTTAGCCTCTCTGAGCCTCAGTTTCCTCACTGGTAAAGTAGGGGTGTGCGTCCTATTCCCTGGTCTGCTGTCGCTGTTCCGAGACCTGCGGTCTGATGACGTTCTCTCAGAAACTGTTGGCTGAGCCTCTCTGCTCTGTCCCCAGCCCTGGTTGCTGCGTGGGCCTCAGGGTGAGCCTGCTCGGGACCGGCAGGTGGCGCCCTTCTCCCACCTTACTGGACCCCTGGCACCATTTCTGCCTGACCCTGGGCCACAGCCAGCCCCCACCCGGCTGTGGAGGGGGCAAACTGCGCCGGGCGGGGCTCCATCAGAGGTCAGGGTTTACCCAGGCCCTGCTCTCCACACACCCAGCGGTGCCTTGAGGTTCAGGAATCCTTTGTCAGGAATCCTTTGCCTGGTGGCTGCAGTTTTGATGCACAAACCCGCAGAATGCTACTCTGCTCCTGCTGTGCACGCATTTGCACAGGCGTCCCACCCGCCTGCGCTCTGGGGTCGGGGAGCCGCTGAGGCTCAGAGAGGCTAAGTGATTGCTCATGGTCCCGGGCAAAACAATGGCATGACCAAGCTGGAACCAAGGTCAGCCAAGCTGAGGCCCAAACAGCCCCCTCCGGAGTCCTCAGTTTGCATGAGCTGCTGCAGAACCTGACTCCTGGGGAGGGTGGGAGAGCAGACGGCCAGCTCTGGAATGGGTCTACGGCCTGCCTCCTCTCCAGGCGTGTCCTTTTCCTCACATCTTGTCTGTCTGCAAGGCTTTCGAGCCCAATGGCAGTTACATGGCGGGTTTGGGGGTACTGAGTGAGCCCCCTATGCAAGCTAGAGCCACGGCAGCTTGCCCAAGGTGGGCAGCAGAACCCAACTTCAGCCCCAGGCCTGCTCGAGTGCTCGCCCAGATCCCACGCTCACTGGCCAAGGGCTGCTCGCTCTTCCCGGGGCCTCTGGGTGGAGGAATCAGCCTGCTTTGTCTCCCGCCAGGCCGCAGCCATATCGGACGCTCAAGGAGTCAGACAGTGCGGAGGGCGAGGCAGAGAGCCCAGAGCAGCGGGCTCGGGAGCCGGCGGGCCCTGCCCCAGCGCCGCCTGACCGGGCTGCCAGCGTCGACCTCCTGGAAGATGTCTTCAGCGGCCTAGACGTGGATGTCCCCCTGCAGCCGCTGGGCCAGGCCAAGAGCCTGGAGGACCTGCGGACCCCCAGAGACCTGCGGGAACAGCCGGGGACCTTCGACTATCAGGTATGGGCCGTGCTGGTGGCTGGTGCTTTCTGAACACGAGCTAGTGAGAGACCGATGCTCGGGGCAGTGTGACCGCAGCCCTGCCAGGCGGCATCCAGACCCTCACAGGGTCACCCGAGAGGATGCTCGGCCTCGCGCCCGGTGGCGACCTGCCCCCACCTCCCAGTGTGCCTCAGGCTGGTTGGTGCTCCAGGCTTGTCCCCCAGAGCTCCAGAGAGGCCTTTGACGCTGGCAGAACTGGGTTTGCTCCCGTCCCCCCCAAGGCTCCTCAGAGAATCTTTGGATCAAAATTCCCGGGCTCTGGATTGTGCATGTGTGACGCACGCACTTCCATGTGGCTTCTGGCCTGTCACGGCCCTCACCGGGCCCCAGTTTCTGAGCTGGTGTGTGGGGATGCTGAGCACGGTCCTGGGCAGGTGGAGTTCAGAGCCCCAAGCCACGCAATGCCTGTGTGTCCTGTGGCCACCAGAAGGGCCGCGGGCCAGGCGTGTGCCTCGTAGCAGCAGGGCCAGCACTTGGCCCAGCCCTGCTTCCTCCCTGCTGAGCGCCTTCACCTGCACTTTGACAAGTGAAAAGGACCTGGACAGGGGATGGTCGGTAGGTGGAGCCCTTTCCTAAAGCGTCTTGGCTACACTGGCATACGGGACAGGGATTTCTCTGGAATCCATCTGCGCCAGCGAGAAAAGCCTGGGCTGAGAGTCCCCTGGGACCTGGACTCTGCTGGGGACCTGGGCCAGCCCCCTGCCCAGCCATCCCCCACTGCCCTGAGTGCTAGTGGCCACACGCCTGCGGCATGGCGAGGGACGCCCTGCCTCCCGGTCTGTCCCCGATCAGCCTGTGTGGTTACCGCCTCCCTCATTCCCTCCAACAGAGGCTGGACCTGGGCAGGGGCGAGAGGAGCCGTGGGATGCCGGTGGCCTTGAAGCTCACCCACCCCTACAACAAGCTCTGGAGCCTGGGCCAGGATGACATGGCCATCCCCAGCAAGCACCCAGACATCTCTCCCGAGAAGCCCCCGGCCCTGCTTGGGAACTCTCTGGCTCTGCCTCGCAGGCCCCAAAACCGGGACAGCATCCTGAACCCCAGCGACAAGGAGGAGGCACCTACCCCCACTCCGGGCAGCATCACCATCCCTCGACCCCAGGGCAGGAAGACTCCAGAGCTGGGCATCGTGCCCCCACCCCCCACTGCTCGCCCCACCAAGCTTCAGGCTGCCGGTGCCCTTGGTGACTTCTCAGAGCGGGACAGGCAAGCCCTGAGCCCCGCTCCGTTCCCGGGGCTCCTCCCCTCCGCTGCTCACCAAGGCCCGCCCGAACTGCTCCAGCCACTTAACCTGGCTGCCGGGGCTGCAGGTGCAGGCAGCGATGCTCTGCTGGCTCTCCTGGACCCACTCAACACCAGCTGGTCAGGCAGCACCCTTCCCCCAGGCCCTCCAGCCCAAAATGTAGCCACCCCATTCACCCCCCAGTTCAGCTTTCCGCCCACAGGGGCCCCCAGTCCATTTCCACAGCCATCACTCAACCCCTTTGTCCCATCTGTGCCGGCGGCACTGTCCGCCATGTCCCTGGTCTCCACACCAGCCAGGCCTTTCGGGGCCTCTCCTGCCTCCCTGGGGCCAACATTTGCTCCTGGCCTCCTGCTGTCCAGTCCCGGCTTCTGTGCCCCACATAGATCTCAGCCCAACCTGTCTGCCCTCTCCATGCCCAACCTCTTTGGCCAGATGCCTATGGGTGCCCACACCAGTCCCCTGCAGCCCCTGGGCCCCCCAACAGTCGCCCCTTCAAGGATCCGAACGTTGCCCCTGGCCCGCTCAAGCGCCAGGGCTGCTGAGGCCAAGCAGGGGCGGGGCCTGAGGCCCGGCGACCCCCCACTCCTTCCTCCCCGACTCCCCCAGGGCCTGGAGCCAGCACTGCAGCCCTCTGCTCCTCGAGAGGCTAGAGACCCCTTTGAGGATTTGTTACGGAAAACCAAGCAAGACGTGAGCCCGGCCCCGGCCCCGGCCCCCGGCTCAGTGGAGCAGCTCAGGAAGCAGTGGGAGACCTTTGAGTGAGTGGGTGCAAAGGCAGGGGCCAGCCAAGGCCTGAGCACCACACACCCCCCGCTGGGGCTTCCAGGCCGGTCAGCCCTCTGCTTCCCCTGATGCTGTTTCTGCCCAGGTTCTACTGGTGAGAAGGGGTGGGAACCCTTCCTGCCGCCCCCACCTCTGGGCCACTCTGTCCGTGGCTGAGGTCTGGCCGCTGGAGAAGGACACCACTTCCGGACTGGGCTCCGACCCAGTTGCTGGGGGCTCACCCCACCCTGGCATCGCCCCTCCTTAGGACCCCCTATTGGGTTTTGCACTAAAGACCTATTGGGTCGGGGCCAGTGGCTGCCCCAGACCACGTGCTACCCACTCCCCTGCGGGCCTCTGCCCCCGCCCCGTAGCGCAGCCCTGCAGGCCTACGCCGCGACGGGGGTTTGGAGTTTGAGGTTAAGGAACCGGCTGTGGACGGGAGCGTCTGCCTGGTGGGCATTGCCAAATGCTCGAGCAATACGCACACTCGCTCTTTCAGGAGTCTCCACCCCAAGCCCCAAACTCCACTCGTTCTGTCCTGGGAGAGACTTGGGGGCTGAGGTTAGTCTTGGGGCCCCTGGTGACAGCCGAGCCCAGACCCAGCCAGTTCTGGTGGGGACCGGGAGCACCAGCACCTCTGACTTGTAGAAGAAAAATTAGCAGCAGATAAATCTGGGCGCCCCAGGAGGCAGAGTCCCATTGTTCCGTGTGACCAGGGCTCAGTCTCTGGTCGGGGGTGCCAGAGGGACGCTGAGCTGAGAAGCTGGCACCCAGGCTCCACGGGACAGGCGAAGCTGCTTTCTGGGTCAGGGATGGGCAGGGGCCGAGGCCTGCTCCAGCCCCGGGAGTGGACAGACCGGGCTGCTTGCTGCCCGGAGGCAGGCCAGCGTCACCAAAGCTCAATGGAAAAGTTTTGTTATTGTTTCTTTTATCTTTTCCTTTTTACTTTATTGATTTGATGAATCTTGAAATTGACTCGTTTCAATAAAGCAAGTTAAAATATGGCCCTGCCATTTAAGAAAACAGCCAGCTGAGACATGCAGGAAATTGTGAGCATTTGGACATGATTCCTCATTTCCTATTTGTGTCTAACGGGGAAGGGGTTCACTGTGGGGCCCTCCGAACCCCAGGGATCCTTGTCAGTGTCCGGGGAGCCCTGCGAGGTCTGGCCAGGGGTTTGTCTGACTGGGCTGTGAGCTGCTCCAGCACACGGCCCCCTCCCCGGCCAGTCACCGCCCCTGGGGCAAGTCTCTCCAAATCCCGGCGCGCGCCCTCTGGCTGCTAGGAGAGCCGCGTCTCCTCTGGGTCATTGGGTGCCTCCAGGACACCAGGTGTTTCAGCAGATTCCAACCCCCCACACCCATCCTGAGCAGACCCCTGAGTCCCGGGGGCATGGGACAGCGCAGGCAGGGTATGAGACAGGTGCTGGGGGGCCCCGGGAAGCAGAGCCCATGGGGTGGCTGGCTGCGCTGGGCTGGTGACTAGCACTCCAGGCTCACATGGCCACCGCCGTCTCTTCACTGCTGGATTGAGTTTGCAAATCCGAGGATGAATTGTGTGTGCGCGTTCAATAGAGTCTTGGGGAGACGGCGAGGAGCCCTGTGTCCTTGAGGAAGCCCTGCAGGGAGGCGAGACCTCAGCCATCTTCAGGCCGTTCCAATCAGGGCTCAGCGCCCAGCTCAGCCCCTTCCCGCACAGGCAGGGGAGGGGGCTCATCGCCTGCACACACAGGCCTGTGGGGTCCACGAGCGGGGCTGCGGGTCAGCGATGGTGTTGAGTGCCCAGGCTCCAGATGAGCAAGTTCAAGGGGACAAGTGGCGATTCGCCCCCACGGACCTCACTGGCCAGGACGTCGCCTCAGAAGCTGCCCCTCCTTTGGCACTTGTGTTGGGGCAGATCTTGACCAAGCACCCAGCTGGGCATTAAACACACCTAGCCCCCGCCCACTGGCTGCCCTGCAATGACAGAGGCCCAGAACCCTCAGGAGCAAGGGAGAGGAGGCTGACATGGGGCTCCCCAGAGGAGCTCAGCTTTTATTTACGTCAGGATTCCACAGAAAATGTCGTAGGAGTCTGCAGCGAACACGGGTCTGTGGAATCTCTGATTTAATAAACTGACCAAGGAGCCAGCCGCGGCCCAGTTGTGCCAGATGGATGTGTCCTCCCCACTTTCCTGGGAGTTCTGGAGGGAATTGGGGGACAGGTGGCCCCTCCTACAGGATAAAGCCCCAGCAAGCCCTTAGCCTAGCACTCAGCTTCCTTGCCACCCCCTCCCCGCCTCTGTTTCAGATCCTGAACGGGCGCTGAGCAAGTCACCCACCAACTGCCGAGTGGAAAGGGCCCCTTGGCCTTGGCACAGGGACGGAAGGCCACCTCCCCGGGCCAGGGACAGAGGGCCCCGTGGAGCTCACAGGAGGCAGGCAGGTGCCCCTCTGGGGTCAGAGATCACAGTGTGATGGCGTCTCCAGGGAAGGCGCTGGAAGCAGAGCAGCAAATTCCTCCCCTTTTGTGTCGGCCTGCAGGACCAGCCCCGACACACAGGGGCCGCCAACTCCGAGGGCCTCTGGGAGTCCAGTCCAAACCTCAACACCCATATAGAGGTGACTGGTTGGGGGGCAGAGGGGGAGGGAGTGCCCTCACCAGGCCACTTTGGAGCTGGGGACCAGGGAGTGGGGGAGGGGGCAGGAGGGCTGGCCTTCATCCTCATGCTGCCCTCCGGCCTCGTGTGCGCCCACAGGGAGATGCCTTCCCCTCCTGCCCTCTGGCTAGAGGAGACAGCCCCGCCCCGCACCCTCAAGGAACAGCAGACAGCTGGGCACAACACAGCCCCCTCACTCTGTGCAGCCCACCAAGCCTCACAAGGGCCCCATGAGGTAGGCAGGGCTGCTGTCCCCGTTCTGCAAATGACAGGTGCTGAGAGAGGCGGCTGCAGGGAGCCCTGCAGACGACCCCAGGGCGGGTGAGGAGAGCCAGCTCAGGTCCACTGCCCCAGCAAGCAGGTCAGCCTGGGCACCAGCTTGGGCGCAGGGCAGACATACCTGCCTAAAGGAGCATTTGTTCTGAGATCCAGAAGCCCACTGGCCTCAGGCTAAGGGCCTCCCCTGATTTCCCTCTGACTGTTGGGAGAAGGGCCAGGGGCCTGGGCCTTGGGCCAGCCCTGGCCTGGTCTCCTGGAGCACATGCTACTTGGGGAAACCCTGTGAGGGTTGTCCCCACAGGGCAGCTGCCCCAACATGGGATCGCAGCACCCAGTAGGAGGTCACATGCCCTCACAGCAAAGACGTGGCCTCGCCCTTGAGTTCTGTCCAGAACATTCACGTGTATCTGCAGATCAGCAGGCCCCAGGCCCATGGTGCACGAGCTCCTGGGTGTGCCAGCTGTAGGCAAGACCTGGCAGGTCACGTGGCGATGTCTCCATCGGCCAGGTCCCTGCTTCCCTGAGTGTTCCCCTTTCTGTCCACGTTGGGGCAGAGGCAGGGGCTGCCAGCAATGGGGATACTTCCCCAGAGGAAATCCTGAGTCCTGCAGTGCCCCCGCCCCACGGTCTGGAAGAGGGGCGCCACCTCCCAGAGGCCCCGAGGCGGCCTCTTGGGTCTCCAGGTGGAAGGGTGCGGGCCCTCGTGGGTGACGGGGCCGGCAGCCAGGCGAGCCTAGATGAGTCTCTCCTCGGGCGGCACCTTGAGGACACTGTCCATCTCCAGCCGGGCCCCGGCCACCTCCTGCTGGCTCGGACTGTAAGTGCCCTCTGACTGGCGGCGCTTTCGGGCAGCCAGGATGCCTGAGAGGAGGCCCAGGAGGAGCAGGAGGAGGCAGGCGCAGGCTGCGGGCACCGCCACCTCCAGCAGCGGGAACGGCAGCGGCAGCGGCAGGCCCTTCTGCAAGAGACCAGTGGTGAGAAGGTCCAGGCCTCAGAGGGGGGCAGGCCCAGCAGAGGCACAAGGACTTGCTCAGAGAAAATCAGAGCTGGGAGCAGGCCTCCCTGGGAGGGAGGGGGTGGCCTGGCCCCAGGAGGGTGCGAACAAGGCCAGGGCTGCCTGTCAGGCCCACTGCAAGGGGATTCTGTTCAACGAAGGCCTGCTGGCTAGAGGACGCAGGCGTTGCCTGCACACGCGCACCGGGTAAGCAGCGTGTGTGGGATTTCACAGTCTCCTTACAATGACCTGATGACGTGGAGCGAGGACACCCCTCACCTGCACGGCTTAGGCATCTGGTTTATCCCCCAAATTCCCAGAGCACTGTGCGCCATAAATATTAGGTGGCAAAATGGGCTTCCGAGGGGGTGGCAAGCCAGGGCTGGTGCTCTCCTCCCCAGGAGCACCCCAAGCCCACACCTCATGGTCAGCCTAGAATTCCAAGTGCCAGAGGCCCCTCCTCTACCACTGGCCAAGGTGGCCTCAGTGCCCAGCCCTACCAGCCTGCCCGCCCCCCTCCACACCATCAACCTGAGGTGATGGGGACCTGACCCCTCCCCATCCCAAAGGGCCTGGGTTTTTTAGGTGTCTGTGGAGACCAGCCTTAACCCTGAAGCGGGAGGCGTCTCGGCTGGCAGCTCGCCGGCCAGGGCAGGAGCGGGGCAGGCTCCTCCGAGCTGATGGTGAGGTCAGAACCCACCAGGGCCTGCCCCCCACCCAGCCCAGCAGGAGACTCAGCAGCCAAGACCCTCCCAGTCACAGGTCATCGAAGATTCTATGGGCTTGGAATTCTGAAACCCCAGGGCCACGGGACCCGGCGGCTCTCTGTCCCATGAGGCCTCTCAGCCCGCGGGGACCAGCACCCCGTCCTGCAGAAGGATCCCAAGGCTGGGGAGAAACTCTCCTCCCAGCCCCGAGTGGGACCGAGTGGGACCGCAGCAGCCGTCCTGAGCACTTCCGGGGGAGCTATAAAGCCATTTCCTCCCTTGTCCTGGGAGGGGGGCTGTGGGGGGGCCAGGGGCTGTAAAAGTCCTCCTTGAAAGGAAACAGTCCCCAGAGCAGAGGGGATCTGCGGGTTTATGACCCGGGCTGCCAAAAGCCTGTGGAGATCAAGGCTGCTCCCCAGGCTTCCTGCCTCAGCCCTCCCGCCGGCACCCACGCAGCCTCCTGGGCCCGCTGGGCCTGCAGGGCCTGCTCACCTCTCGGTGGGGAGGGGGCCGGAGGGAAGTTCCAGCTCAAGCTGCCCGCTGACCCATCTCCCCAGCCCCCCCTCAGTGGGCCTTCCTGGGGTCAGGGGCGACCTTCACAGGGGACCAGCCTGTGCTGGTTCAGAACCCTGGGCGCCCCAGATCTTCCTGCCCTAAGATCCCAACTCAGCACCCCCTGGAGTCTACCAGGCTCTTGTTTTCACCAGCTAAACCCCATGAAGTCAAGATCCTGTCAGCCCAGGTTGGGCTTGGCAGAACCCAAGTGACCCCTCTGCCAGTCCCCAGGGAGAGGGTGGGACGACCCCCACCCCCGGCTCCCTACAGAGAACACGCTTCCTGCATGGGGCACGTGAAGGGAACAGGGTCTCCTCTCCCTGCTGCCCCCCAACAGCTCCACGGGTGCTGTACCCCCACACACACATGATCTGCCCAAGTCCCAAACAGGCACCCCACCCTCTGGCATCACTCACCACCACTTCGCAGAACTGGCCCGAGAACCTGGCGCTGCAGATACATTCAGACACCCCGCGGGCTGCCCGGCAGGTGCCCCCGTTCAAGCAGGGGTTGGCTTCACAGGGGACCTGGCACCTAGGGAGGCGGAGAGTGGGGCTGAGAAAGCCGCTCCCCACACGCCAGGCGTCAAAGCCGTGTCCACGGCTGCCCTGCCCGGCGGGGCCCTGCCAGGGGATGGGCGCTGGAGCTGCGCTCCCTGCCCACTTCGCCCAGCGCGGGCAGCCCAGGGTGCTCTCGCTCCGCCCCTGCACAGGGCACCTGCGGAGAGGCACTTCCCCGGGGGTGCAGATCTGTCCGGGGTGAGCTCAGACTTGCACTTCACAGCCTCCTGATGGAGGGGGGCTGAGGACAGATGGGGCGCTGAGAGACACCACCAGGGACCACCCTCCCCGAGGTGAGCGCGTGAAAGGGCGCCCAGAGGAACGAGCTGATGGAGATCACACCAGGCGCCCCGGAGCCAGCGAGGGCTGAGAAGGTAACAGGCGTCCACACGCACACGCACACGCACACACCCCACCCCCACCCCACCCCGCGCCTGCCCTGGTAGCAGGGACGGAGGGACCTGCCCTGCCCAACTCTCCACACTCATCCCCAAGTCCTGACTCCCAGACTCACCTCTGCCCAGCAGAGCCCTCCAGGCAGGTGCAGTTGACACCCTCGCAGGGGCCACCGTTGAGGCAGGTGAGGTTCTGGCCGCACTCCCCTGGCAGGACGGGCAACCTGAGGGAGTGAGTGCAGAGGCAGCCGTGGGGACAGGACCCCCGGCACCCAGCCCCACCTCCACGTCACCGCCCCCCACCGCCCTGTCATCTGGAAGTCAGGGCCCAGGGCGTGGTGCGCCAGGCGGACGGGGCCACTGCGGCCCTGGCGGCTCCAGCCCCGCGGGTCGGGCTCCGGGCCTGGCTCTGTGCCCCCCGGCGGGCGGCTTGCAGGGGAGCCTCCCGCTTTTTCTCCAGCCCAGCTTCTCCCCCACCTCCCACGCCAGACGCGCATCCGTGTATCCGAAGGTCAAATGTATGCGCGAAGCCGGTATTTTCTCTGGCACCCGGAGGCCCCGCGGCTCCCGGCTCACGGACCAGGGCTCCGCGCCCACGCCCTCCTCGAGGCCCACCGGGCCGCGCACGGGCGCCCCCACCCCGTGCTCACCTGCAGCGCGGGCCCGCGAAGCCCGGCGGGCAGCGGCATTCGAAGCGGCCGTCGGGGCGCGCGTGGCAGCGGCCGCGGGCGCAGGGCGCGGAGCGACAGGGGTCGGCGCGGGCCTCGCAGCGCCGCCCCTCCCAGCCCGGGCCGCAGGCGCAGGCGAAGGCGTCGAAGAGGTCGCGGCAGGCGCCGCCGTGCAGGCAGGGCGAGGGCGCGCACACCGGGGCGCCGCGGCAGCCCAGGCGCGGGGCCGCCGCTCCCGGCCGGGCCGAGAAGGGCTCCGCGGCCCCCGCGGGGACGCCGGGCCGCGGGCGCGCCAGGGGCAGCGGGAGGCCGCCGAGCGCCACGCGGCCCAGGCAGCCCGTGAAGTTCTCGGCCAGCAGCACGCGGGCGCCCGGGCCGCGCAGGAAGCCCAGGTCGCCCGCCTGCCCGCGCAGCGCCGCCGGCGCGGCCGCCCCGTCCAGCCACAGCAGCCAGCGCGCGCCCCCGGCCGCGGGGCGCTCCAGGGCGAGGCGCACGCGGTGCCAGGCGCCATCGGCCACGCGCGGCCCGGGCGCCGGCAGCACCGCGCCCGGCAGGCCGGGGCCACTGCGCACGCCCGCGGCCAGGGAGCCGCGGCGCACGGCCAGCCACACGGCCGCGTGGGCCCCCGCCGTGGCGCGCAGCAGCCCGGCCTCGGGGTCGCGCGTGCGGAAGGCGATGGAGAGGCCGCTGAGGGGGCGCCCCGATGACGCGTTGGGACCGCTGAATTCGGCCGGGGGGCCCTCGTGGAAAGTGGCCTCGGCCACACCTGGGGAGCGGGAGCATCGGGATGGCCCACCCGCGCGCTGCACCCCACCCCATCCTCCCAGCCCAGCTCCTGGGGGACACACACACCCCCTCATGACCTGACCCCAGGAACTGAGCCCCCCCACCCATCCACCCCAGCACTACTGGGCTGAAGAGTCTCCCCGCGCACCCTTCCTCCAGCTCGCAGGCCGGGGACCCACAGCCTCTAGAAAAACCTACCCCCACTCCCTCCTGAGGGCAGGGACCGGAGTTAACCAGCGTGGGCACCCGGTACCCGCCGCGGGGCTGCCCAGGGCAGACACTCACAGACAAAGCCATCGGGAACCTCCTCGCAGGTGGCAGGCGGCAGGCAGGGTTGCCCAGGGCACCACAGCTGCTGGGCACACGTGGGCCCGGTGAGGTTGGCCGGGCAGGTGCAGTGGAAGTCATTCCAGGTGACGAGGCAAGTCCCACCGTTGAGACAGGGGTCAGGCTGCCAGAGAGTGGGGCAGGGACCGGCTCAGGGGCTCCGTCGCCCCCCACACCCACCGCCGCAGCGGGCTGTCACCAAGCACTGACGGCAGACATGCCAGCTCCCCTCAACCAAGCCAAGAAAGCCAAGAGCATCCCCATTTTACGGGTGAGGAGATGCTCAGAGAGGAGCCGCCCCTGGCCCGCATCCCCCAGCCAGGACACAGGAGTCAGAGTTCACGCCCAGGGCCGGCGCCTTGTGCGTGAACCCACGGGCGTCCCTGTCCCCGGGCCGCTCCTGCAGAGAGGTGTGGGCAGCCACCCTCCGCCCGGCCACGTGCCCATCTCAGAGCAGGACCGGGGAGGGGACTGGGAAAACTGGGCCAGAGGAGATGGTGTAAATCCTGGTGTGCGGGGCCGGCGGTGGGGTGCTGGGCAGGGCGCTCCAGCTGCCGCCCCTTCCCGCTGGCAGGACACGCCGACCCCCAGAGACACGGGGTAGACGCGGGGAAGGGCCCCACTCACACTGCACATGTCCTCGGAGACGCAGCCCGCGGTGAGGTTCCAGGAGCGCCAGCTGCCCAGCGCGCTAGGCCGGCTTGAGTTCCCCGGCGGCAGCGGGAAGAAGGGGATGTGGAGGCCGCTGAGTCGCAGGTCCTGGAGGCAGCCGCGGAAAGGGCCCCCCAGGGCTGGGCATCCGCGGGGAGCGGCCTCCCCGCCACGTGCACCTGCCACCCCAAGCCCTGCAGCTGATCAGGCTGGAAGCTGAGTGTCACCAGGTGGCGAAGCCCGTCATCCCAGCGTCCAGGGAGCACCAGAGCAGGACTGCCTGGCGCCTCGGCCCGGACCTGGCCCTCCCTCAGGAACACCGTCAGAAGAGCTGCAGGCTCGTTGGTCAGCTGAAGCAGCAGGCCGGCAGGTTCCCGGGTGCGGAGGAAGAAGGACAGGGTGAGGTTGGGGCCTGGCAGGTGGTGGAGCCGGAAGGAGGCAGAGCTCGGGGTGCCCCCCCAGCCAAAGGTGGCAGCAGGAACCTCTGCAGGGAGAAAGGGGCCGGCCATGAGGCATGTGGGCTGAGGGAGCCGGTAGGGTTGACCCCTGGGGGCCCAGATTTCAGGTGCTCCCTTCCCACCTGGCTCGCTCCTCACCATCAGCGCACGTGGGGCCGAGATAGGGCCGGGGGCAGTCGCACTGGAAGTGAGTCCACAGGTCCTTGCAGACCCCGCCGTGGGCACAAGGCAGAGGCTGGCACTGCTCACGGCGCTCACAGCCCAGGAGGACGTTCCCGCCGAGGTCCCCGGGCAGCAGCGGGTGGCCGTCCACATGCACGTCCTGGAAGCAGCCTGCAAAGGCCGCGTCGCCCAGCTGGGCCACGCAGGGCCCGGCTGGCTTTGGGGCCACGGAAGCTGTAGGAGCCGGGGCCACGGGGCTGGAGGCCACACAGACCCGGGCTGGGCAGCCCTCGTGCCAGAGCCGCAGCTCCAGGACCCCCAGGCGGAGAGCCGCCTCCACGCGGTACCAGTGGCCGTCACTTAGGGCCGGGCCCGGCAGCCGCAGGGTGATCGTGCTGCTGCTGTGGCTCCGGAGTGTGGCTTGGAGCGTGGCTCCCGCCAGAGCCAGCTCCAAGCTGTTCAGGGGGTCAGTGCGAGCAGCCAGGGCCCCATCAGGAAGGGTGGTGCGAAACCTTAATGCCAAACCCAGGGGGCCACCAGATGGCACCGGTGCCTGCACGGGACTCCCAGCCACCACGGAGAAGGTGGTGTTCTGGTCACACAGAGGCCCGTGGGTGCCAGGTGGGCAGCGGCAGGTGTAACCATGGACCCCGGACTCAAAGGTGGGGACACAGGTGGCAGCCAGGGGGCAAGTGTGGCCCTGACAACCACTGAGCTGCACGGAACAGTCGTGGCCGCCCCAGGCCTCCAGGCACCAGCAGCTGTAGCCCGCCACGGTGTCCTCACAGGCCCCGCCATGGAGGCAGGGCTCCGACAGGCACTCGTCCACGTCTTCCTGACACGTCAGGCCTTCGGGAGAGACCAGGCCAGGTTCAGCTTCCAAGGCCAGAGGCACCGTGTGGACCCGGAGCCGACACGCCTCTTGGGGTGAGGGCTCAGCTGCTACCAACCAGACCAACTCCCCGACAACTTTTCTCGAGCCCCTGCAGTCCCTGGAGGCTGGAATGCAAGACGCCCCTTCCTCTGCCGTGTCCGGTACGTCCCTATGCCCTGTGACTTCAACCCTCCAAACACTCAACCCCCCGCTTTCCTCCTACCCCACCTCTCCTGCCGCACCAGCTGCCCGGGATCCCCAGCCCTCTGGGCTGCAGGCTGCATCCCTCAAAAGCCCCTCGACTATCCAGCCCCACCCCACCAGCACCCTGAGATCCATTCCTAAAGCATCACCCGGTCCAGGTCCTCCGCCGCCTCAGGGCCATCACCCCCGGCACTGGAGAGCCCCCGCGGCTGCGCCCCACCACGCACTCGAGTCTCCACCCGGCTCCTTGCAAACCCTGACCTGCCGGTCCCTCCCAGCATCTCCCAGAAAGCCCTGTCTCTGGGGTTTGCTCCTTCTGTTCCCTCCGCTGTGTCCGCCCTCACCCTGCCTTTCAAACTCCGACTCATCCCGCAAAGCCCAGCTTCAAAGGGCCAGTCCCCCAGGAAGGTCTCTCTGACTCCAACCCCCAGGCTGCTGTGTCAATCCCAATTCCCAGGCACAGCACCCGGAATCCTGCCTCAGCAGCTGAGATCTCCAGGGACCCAGATATGTCCTTAGTGCTCAGCACAGGGCTTGGTGTGGCTTTTCTAGACAGAGTGATGAGATGGGGGCGCCAGAGGCGGGGAGTGCATCTGTTGCACTCTGAGTAACCCCAGGATCTAACCCCCACTCTGTCCCTCTGCCCAGACCCCCACACTAGCTAAGAAGGGGCCACATCATCCTTCCCTGCAGGAGTCCCCACACCAAGCTCTGCGGTCCCAGCCTGGGTCAGGAGGCCACAGCCCAAACCCAGCTCAGCCGGGGCCCCCACAACACGACCAAGGCCGTGTCCCAGCTGCAGGGACCCATGCCCGGGCCTTCGGGATCTGAGCCGCGGCCCCCGCCTGTCCACACAACACAGGACAGCAGCCCCAGCGCCCCCTGTGAGGTGCCAGCCCTCCATACCTGCCAGGAGCCCCAGGCCCCCCAGGAAGGTCCACAGAGCCCGCAGTCCCATTGCATTTCCCACAGACAACAAGCGCGGTGGGCGGGCCCCAAAGCCGGGGTGACCTCCTTCAGAGCCAGCGCAGGAATGCCAAGCACTGGCCTCCCCCACATTCGACACAACCCAAAGGGAGGATGGAACGGATGGACAGCCTCTCAGCCCCGCGACCGAGGCCCCCTCCCATTCCCTGACCTCAGCAATCTGACCTCCCGGGCACCCATCAGCTGAGCTCAGCCTGGGAGGAGCTGGGCCACGACACCCCATCTCTAAAACTTGTGTCACCTCATTTGCAAGAGGGGGACTTAAAAGCCTACCTGGGGGGGGGCATGTGGAGGAGGAGACCAAATGCACAGAGAGTTCTCCAGGCAGAACATGCTGTGGCCCCCACTGTGCCAGACCCCCAAGAGGTCACAGCTCCCAGGCAGGACTTGGGGGGAGGGCGGCCTCAGCCCTTGGGGATGGAAAATGGGTTTTCAGGGCCCTCAGAGGAGGGGACCCCGGGTCCTAGCACCTTTGGGTATGTGGGTGAGGGTGGAGGGACAGTGACACAGGGTGGAGCCTGTGCCCAGGAGCCCAGCAAGGGGGAGGCGCAGCTTCCAGCAGGAATGCAGGCGGGTGTGGGGGGAGTGCCGCAGGCATCTCAGAGCAGGGAGGGACACTCGTGAGAGCTGGGTGCGCGCCGCTGTCCTGGGGCTCGCCAGCATCTGCATGGAGGGTGCGGCGTGTCTGTACAGCGCCTGCTGTCCCCAAGGCAGAGACAGGCTTTCTGCACCCCACCTCCTGCCTCACAGGCCCCAGCTCCCCAAAGATCAAGTGTGTCCTGCAGACACTGCCAGCTCTCAGTAAGGCACCCCCTCGGTCTTCCCTGCCACCCTGGACCTCTGCCCTGCCCCTTGGTGTCAGGTGTCTATGGTTCTCCCTGCCCCTCACGCTGCACTTTCTCCCAGGCAATATCAGCCACCCCTGGATCCAGCTGCCAGGGCTACACACCAGGCCCCCGACTCTGGCTCCAGCCCGGGCCCCTCTTCTGGGCCCCAGGCCCTGGGCCACCAGCACTTACCCTGGCTCCTCGCCAGGGGTGTGCCGCAGACGCTCTGGCTCATTACAGACAACGCTGAATTCATCCTCGTCACCCATTGTCACCCGGGACCGAAACTCAGCCGGCATCCCAGGCGCCTCCCACTCACATCTAGAAGCAGCCCAGGGCCTGCTGCGTGTCCCTCCTACTCCTCAGCCCAGCGAGTTACCGCCATTCCCACCTCCAAAGCCCAGGTCCTAGCTCAGTCCCTCTTAGCTGTCACCGGGGCACCTGAGCCCACCTCCTCCCTGATCACCTTGTCTCCCCACCAATCCAGTCTCCACACAGGGCATCAGCCAGAGGCACCTTCTCGCCCCAGGCCCACCGACCCTGCCCTGGCCCTGTTCCACCCACCCCGGGCACCTGTATATCCATCTGGGCAGTGGCACCGGAAGCCGTTGGGCAGGTCCTGGCAGTGGCCTCCGTTGACACATGGCCGTGAGGCGCACTCGTCCACATCCACGTGGCAGTCGGCCCCTGCAAGAGGCCCGGCTGTGGTGCCGCCTGCGCCTGCAGAGCAGCCTGGGGCTGGCAGGCCCTCGCCAGGAGACGGAGGCCCAGAGAGGGGCACTGACTGGTGCGGGGCACGCGGTTCTACCCGGCCTTTGCTCCCCAAGCATCTGGACGCTGAAGAACCTGCTTCCCCGGGAGAGGAGAGGAATCTCACCCTCGAAGCCTGGAGGGCAGCGGCACAGGTAGCCCGCGGCGTGCCGGAAACTGAAGGGGCCCGGGAAGGCGGCCTGGACGCCCTCATACAGGGCCGGGTCGGAGCGCTGCAGGCACTGGCCCCCGTGCTGGCAGGGGCCCGCGGCGCACTCGTCCTGGTCCACCTCGCAGCGCGCGCCGCTGTAGCCTGGGGGCGCACACGCAGAGCACCAGGTCACGCGGGGTCAGCAGGCAGCCCCCTCCACTGTGCCTGGGACGCCAGCACAGAACCTGGCCACCTCCGGCGGGGAGGCCGGGCCTCCTTGAAGGGGTCGGCCCGACCCCAAGGCGGCCTCCCTCTGCAGCAAGGTATGGCTGCGCCCTTGGCACGCACCCGGCCCGGCCCCGAGGGTAACGGGCAGGACCTTGACTCTCCTCACAGCCGCCCCAGAGCCGTGAAGAGCCCGACGTTTAGATCAGGAAAATGAGGTCAGAAGGTCCCGGCGCGCGCCCACCCCCGGCTGGGCCCAGGGCGCCCCTGCGCTCCCCGCCGCCGCCCCGGGCGCCCGCACGCACCTGGCCAGCACAGGCAGCGGAAGCTCCCGAGGCCCTCGAGGCAGGTGGCGTTGTGCGCGCAGGGCGCCGACGCGCACTCCAGCACCTCCAGCTCGCAGCGCGCGCCCTCGTAGCCCGTGTCCGCGCAGTCGCACCGGAAGCTGCGGCGGGACCGCGACCCACCTCAGCCAGGCCCGCCCGGCCCGGCCCCCGCCGGCCCGCGGCCCCCGACGCCCCTCCGCCCCCCTCCCCGCGGCCTCCCCGTGCCGGGGCCGCGGCCGCCGCTCACCCGTTGACCAGGTCGTGGCACGCGCCCCCGTGCGCGCAGGGCTGGCTCTGGCACTCGTCCAGGTCGCGCTGGCAGCTGGCGCCGCCGTAGCCCGGGGCGCACACGCAGCGGTAGGAGCCCACGCCGTCCAGGCACGAGCCCCCGTGCAGGCAGGGCGCCGAGGCGCACTCGTCCACCTCCTCCTCGCACGTCGCGCCTGGACAGGCCGAGACGCCACAGAGAGATGAGCGCCCGGAGGGAGCGCGACACGGCCCGCCAGGCCCCGCCAGGCCCCGCCAGGCCCGCCCGAAACCAGCTCCAGGTGAGGAGCCGCGGAGCAGGCGTTTCCCTGGGGAGGGGGGGGGGCGGCATCCTGTCCCCGGAGCAACCAGGGGCCGAGGCCGAGAGGGGACGATGAAGTCAGCGCATCCTCCGTGAGGGCTGCGGTTCGGTTCTGACAAGCTCAGCGGCTGGAAGCACCGGGGCCTGTGAAAGCTGGGCCAGGGTCCTGGCCGGGAATGGGGAGCCAGAAAGGCTTCTTGGAAGAAGAGATCTTTGAGGCCGAGGGTGTCACTAGACTGGGTTGGGGCTGTGCCAGCAGGTGGGTGCCTGAAAGACCTTGGCCGAGGCCTGTGCCCGGGGCAGTGGGCGCGGGGCGGGTCAGACGCAGAGGGAAGGGGAGCTGGAGCGGGGCAGGCGCAGGCCGCAGGGCCTTGAGGCCACGGGACACATCTGAGCTTACCCTAAAAGTTTTCAGCAGCTGAGTGACTAGTTTGAGAAGACTCACGGGTGGCTTTGAGGAGAGGGTAGGGAGGCACCGCAGGGAGGAGGAACGTACTCTGGGGAGAAGCCGGAGTACAGTAGCCAGCTCCTGGCGGGTCCTGAATCCCCGGAACCCCTCAGTCCTGGGCAAAACTGAGCAGCCCCCAGGGCCAGAGCCCAGCGTTTGGAGAGGTGCTCACGGCAGGCCACGGGCCGGCCCACGAGTTGGTTTGGCCGGGGTTGCCCAGCAGCCTCCAACCAGAACCTTCCCCTCTCCCAGCTCAGCGAGCAGGCAGCAGGGCTCCTCCTCCCGTGACCCCTCGCTCCTCCCGCCCAGCCCCGCTCCCACCCTCTGTGCCAGGGGGAGCCAGGTCCTGGCCGCCTGGAATCCCAACCTCCCCCGCCTGGCCCGGAAGGAAGGGAAGGAGGAGAAATGAGTCACGGCGTCGCTGCCCCCTCCCCTGCACAGCTCACCCAGCGCGCATGGCCGCCGCGGTCCCAGCTCCACACACACCTCACACACCTCTGCCCTCCCACGCGGATCTCCGCATCACGCGTCCTGGGGCTCAGCCACCTGCACCCCGCAGCCACAGTGGGCCCTTTACTCCCCCCACACTCCACACCCCAGCTACAGCGTCCGCACGCGCAGGCAGAGTCAGGCGAGCAAGGGGCCGCCACCACTTTCCACAGTCTTTACACCTGTTTGCCACGACCCACCTCCTCGCTAAGCCGGTCCCAGAACCCAGCCCTTCAGTCTGGACCGTGCCTTGAGATGCCCTCAGTGCCTTCAAAGAGAGTTGTCTGAGTTCAGAGGTGAAACAGAACCTGGTCTGTCTACACTGCAGGCCCGGACTGCCCCAGCCCTAGCCTGGTCCCCAGGCCTGTCCCAGCGGCACCCTCCTGCCCCACCCCCAGGCAGCCACTCCTGTGGGCTCTGGCGCTGGTGCAAGGGGCTGGCCGGGGCCGTCCTGCGGAGGAGGGAGTAGCTGTAGAGACGGCAGGGTCCCGGGGTTCGTGTACAATCTAAACAAGGCCAAAGCTGAGGGGATGACCTGACACGCAGAGCTGCTGACGGACGGTCACGACGGGCCCCCACCCTGGGTCGCCAGGGCCATTACCTGCGTAGCCCAGGGGGCAGTGGCACTCGAAGCGATCGGCCAGGTTGTGGCAGGTGGCCCCGTGGCGGCAGGGCCGGGACGCACACTCGTCGACGTCCAGCTCACAGCGTGGGCCCTGGAACCCGGGCACGCAGTAGCAGCGGAAGCCGGCGGGATCTGGACCCTGGGGCACACACAGAGCGCCGTGGTGGCATGGCTGGGCAGCACAGCCGCCGGGCTCCGTGGGCCTGCAGAGGTGGCCGCCACTCTCTGTAGCCTGGCACTGGGTCCCTGGAGCGCAGGGGGCCGAGGCACAGGCACTCAGGGTCTCTGTAGGCACCGTTCCTGTAGAGAGAGGAGACTGGCTGGACAGGGGCTGCCCAGACACCCGCCCCCCAACACACACGCACACACACACACAAGCAGGCCCATCCCCAGAGCCCGTCTGTCCTCACACCCGGATCTGGGAGTTATTTCACGGCATGGGGCATCCCCACGTTGGGGAGCAGGCCCAGGGGTGCCTGGCTCCTGGTGGTGGACGCTAAGCCTGGGAGCCTGCCCCCGTGGTCCCTCGCGTCCCCTCAGCCGCTCTGCAAGGGAGCAGATCAAGGCTCTAGGGAAAAGGTGGTCATTTCTGCCTGGGGTCCCGCACAAGTTAGTGCCAGAGCAGCCTTCAGCCCACTGGGGGATGGGCCCCTCCCGGTTTCCCTGCCCCCTCCCAGGGGGCCAGCAGAGGGGCTCCTCCCGCTGCCCCCTCCACCGCTCCTGCTGGGGGTCTGGAAACTCCATCCTGGTGAAACTGGAGATGGAGGACTTCAAAGGCCACGGGCCTGGAGCCAGGGCCGGCCCCTCTCCCCCCACCCTCCTCGCACCCCACCCTGCTGGCCCGGGAACTTCTCTGAGGAGCCCGCACCGTCCCCTACCAGCGCATGCCCGAGTGGCCAGCCCAGCCAGCCGGGTCACAGGTACTGGGCAGGTGCTGAGACCCCCGACAAACACCTGGCTCTGCCACGGAGAGAGTCGCTACCCCTGCCTGCGGGGCTCCCTTTGTCGGCCGGTGCCTGTGGCGCTGGCGTAAGACTCGGCCTTTGAAGTAAGACAGCCCCGGGGTTCAGAGCCACGCGAGCCCTGAGACCTCGGGCCAGTCATTTCTCCTCCTGAGCCTCCGTTTCCAATCCCAACAGGCAGTGATAGCGGCTCCAGCCTCCTCGGATGTGGAAGGATTCAGAGCCCCAGGTAAGAGCCAGCGGCCACCCCCGTAGGAGCTGGGTGAGTGGTGGGGGAGGGGCGGCATGCCCACCTGGCCCACCGGTGATGCCCCTCCCCCACCCAGGTTGTCACCCAGACACTAAGCAGGCCCCAAACAGCTTCAGGCCCTGCACCTCTCCTCCCCCGCCCTGGTGAAGACCCCCAGATAAGGCTCGGCAGCCTCTCCGGCGTCATTCACATTCCATCAGGCAGGGCTGCCCCCTGCTGCGACCCCCACCCTCCCGAGCCAGGATGGCAGAGAGGGAGGTGGACGTGGAGATACCAGCCCATGGCCTGGGGAGGACCCAACAGGCAGCCCCACCTCTGAGTTCCCCAAGCACCTGGGGCACTTCAAGATGGGCCCCCCCTCCTGTCCAGGCAGAGGATGTGAATCACAGATGATCCTAAGAGGCTCTGGCGCCCACAGACCTCTGTCCGCAGCTGTCCTTCCCAGCTGGGGGCATCCAGCCCCGCCCCCACTCGCAAGCCTGGTCCTACGGGCGAGGACAGGGGGCCTCTCTGAGGGGCTTAAGGGCAGCCCATCTGTCTTTTTCTGACCTGGGGCCACTGGAGCTGATCAGTTAGAGCCAGTCCCCGGGGCCAGGCCGTGTAGGGTGTGCAGGTGGACAGCGGTGGCTTGGGAAGGGCCCAGGATATGGCACCGGGCTTACGCCAGGGGTGGGAACAGTGCCTGCCATGTGGGGCGTTGTGAGGGGCCCCTAGGAGATGTGAGCGACCCTCCTTGCTCCCGGAGAGACGCCAGTGAGAGGCTGTGGTCAGGGTGATGAGGGGAGGGAGCTGCGTGCCGCCTTCTGTGTAATCTCAGCCCTGGTCCACATTTACCTTGGGGCAGGTGTGGGAGCTCTTCCTCCTTGCTCACGGCTGAGGGAAGTGAGATTCGGAAATGAAGGGACTTCACAGTGTCACAGCCCTGAGTGGCTGGAGTCCAAACCCAGGTCTCTCAGCCCCGGAACCCCACCCCCAGCCGGATCCGCATTCCCCCGGGCGCCTGCATTAGGGATGCAGATCCCTGGGCCCCAGGCCGGGCCTGGAGATTCAGAACCCTTGGCCCTCGGGTCTGAGAATGTGCATTACAACACGCTCCCTGGGGATCCATTTGCTCCTTGAGATTTGGGGACCCCAGCCCTGGGGATCCATTTGCACCTTGAGACTTGGGGACCGGGGCCCCCGGGTGCTCTAGTCTCCCCGGAGCGAGCAGGAGCCTAGAGGTGAGGCGGAGGGGCCGCCCCGGGCCAGGCTGGGGGCGCGGCCTGTTGCCGGGACAACGAGGGGCCGGTGCTTATCTTTGCAAATCCCCCTGACCTCCCAGGCGGCCGGGACGACCTGGCGGGAGACGGATTAGCTGGCACCGGCCTGTCCCCTTCAACCTGCTGCCGGCCCAGAGGGCCCAGAAAGGGCCGCGGGAGGGAAACTCACGGGAGGCTCCATTCCGCTGCCTCCTACCCCCAGGGACTGGCCTGCAGCCCTGCCTCTCATCTCCAACTACACACGATTCACAGCTGACGGTTTTAAGAAAACTTAAGCTTTTCTAATTCAGGGATGTTGGTAAACTTGCCCGGGATCAGCCATGAAAAAAGTGGGAAGCAGATCGCCCCAGATTTCTGACAGGTCACAGCTCCCCGGGCCTGGGGAGTCCCCACTCTGCAAAATTGTAGTGATGCCCCCCGCACCCAGGCCTGGGGGAGCGGCTGGGGAGACAGAGACCCAGGCACCGTCCTGCCTGGAGGCAGCACCAGGGCGTCAGTCCACCCGCCTCCTGGGCCCGCGAGCCCCCTACTCCCCTCACACTCACATGGGGCCTGGAGGTGATGCAGGCAGCCAGTGCTGGTGGTGGATTTGGGGGAGCTGCTTGTCTGCAAGGGCAGGAGAGAAAATATTTCTCCAAAGCAACCTGAGATTCAGAGGCTGCAGGAGCATCTGGCATAATTGGCCCAAGGGGAGGATTGAACCCCAGCACGAACTGCCTCCGGGCATCCGGAGAGCACTAAGTCACCGAGGCCAGAGAGTCTGGAATATTCTGGAATATTCTCAGGGTCTGCCCCACTGAGTGTGAAGGCACCATCTTGATAAGTCCTGGCAACGAGAGCCAGGCGAGCTGAGCCCGTGCCTGGCACCACCAGGCCTGTCCCGTGTTTCCAGGTCCAGAGCACAGTGATGGTGGGAGCCTCCCGGAGGGAGGGTCATCAGAAGTGGGGGGCGGGGGGAGCAGGGCTTGGCCGCCGCCCCACAGGCCACTTCTAGTCATTTCACTTCTGAGTGTGCGTGGGCTTCCGTCTACACGCCTTTGGGGCTGGGGGTTCCATGCCAAACCTGAGTTGGAGAACTACCGCGTTACCCCATCAAATTCTTGTGAGGGCCCCCGGACTTAGCTGGGTTGGCCCCTTGTGACTGAGACACAGGAGGGACGTGAGTCCTGGCGCTGTCACCCCCGAGCTCTGTGACTCTGGGCACGTTACAGACCCTCTCTGGGCCTCGTTTCCAACTCTATAAGGGGTGGGGGGCGGGGGGTAGCAGAGCTGCCCTCACAGGGTTGTCAGGAAAACCGAATTCCATTATGTTCGTCCAGCACGCACGCCCGGCACTTAGTGGCTGATGGTATTATTTACTCACCCACCAACAAATCTTTACGTGGGGCCACTGGACTGTCCCGAGCCTCCCGCCATTGGGTCATGTGTGGCTGCCTCCGGCCCGTGCCCCCACCCAGCTCTGGTTGGAGGAGGGGCCACACTTGGGGCTGGACTCTCCGGCCCTTTGTCAGCCAGGCTCCCTGGGTGTGCAGGGAAGGGGGGCAGGGACTGGGAGCCAACTCGCCCCATTATCCTCCAAGATGCTAGGTCCTCTCCATAGCAACCAGCGGGCCTTTGTGGCAGAGTGGGCCCAGGATGGAGGGGACTTGGCAGGCCTGGGCAGGCGTGGGCAGCAGAGCCAGGGGCCCAGAACCCCTCTCCTCTGTGGGATGGAAATTGTTTCTCAACCCCCAGCCCGGCTCCTGGCCGGGTACTGGCATCCAAAATACTCATGCCTACATTGCCCCCCTGCAGCTTCTGGGATCTCCAGGACCCCCAGGGAGGGGGTCCCTGCATAGAAATGGCAGGGGAGAGGCTGCCTGGGCACCGCAGCAGGGATGGGTGGTGTGGATGGATCTGTTCATGGGGTTGCACATTTGAGAGGAAGTCACACGGCGACATGCTCATGTTGGTAAAGCAGGCACACACCATGAGCAGGTGTGTGTGTGTGCGCGTGGCTGCACATGCCTGTGGACACCTGCTGGTGGGGTGCTGTGTGCCAGTGTGCAGCTGTGTGTGTGCAGTGTGTGCGGGTGTGTGTGCACAGAGCACAGAGAGCCACAGGTGGGACCTCGTTCCCCTGTGCACAAAGCAGAGCAGGCTCCCTGCTCCTCTCATTTGCCCTGGGAGCCCAGTTCATAAGCCCCCATCCCTCCCTGAACCTCAGTTTCTTAGTGCAAAAGGGGGTCCCTCATTCACCCCAAGGGCCTTAGGAAGAGGAGTAGATGAAAGTGCTGTAAGCCAGGCCCTATGAGAGGAAGACACCAGGTAGGGCTTGGGGTCCTCCCCAAAACAGTCGGAAAAGTGGGGGCTCCCCCAGACCTGGCAGAGCCCAGGCCATCCTCCTGTTTGGCTCCCTCCTCCAGCCAGTGGCAGCGGGGGTGGGGGACTTCCCAGGCCTGGCCCCTGTAGCTATAGTGATGGAGACAAAGCGTCCGTCCCCCCAGCCCCCCAGGAGGAATTCCAGGCCTGCACATGCGTGATCCACTCAGACAAAAGCCAAAACCACTTGCAAGTGGTGGTCTGGCTTCAGGAAGCCCTTTTCAGCTTGGTCCAGGAATGCCAGGTAGGGGGACTAGCAGTGGACACACATGTGTTCCCAAGTGCTTAGTCACCCCCGGGGGGCCCAGAGCCCCCCCAGGTGCCGAGTGCAAGAAAGGCGAACACACTCAGCTTTCCCGCGTCTCCTTCCCGCCTCTCTAACCCCCAATCCACGGGGCTGGGGACTGCTGCCCCCAGCCCACACCCCCACATGAACAGCAAAGACAGTTCAACCCACTTGATAATTTCCTCCCCACAACTCTGCTCAGCCGGGAAGGCTCAGCACCACTCCCAGCTCAGCCAGACAGTCCGTCCTGCTCTCAGCTTCAGTCCACTCGCCACCTGTGCCCCACAACCAGCACACCGCTCACAGCCAACTCTGGGGTGAGGCTCCCACTTCGCGCAACTCCCCAATCTCAGGCCTTTACTCTCCAGAACTCCCAGCCGCAACATCCCTCCCCTGCAGGGTACAGCACACCAGGATCCCCAGAGCACCTCATTTCCCAAATCACCGAGGCCCACGATCCCCCTCCACAGCCCTCCACACACAGCAGCCCCGAACCCCAGGACATGCTCCCCGCCGCCAAGTCCCTGTGGCTTGCAGCAGTGCGTCCCTCTGCACCCCAGCCCCACAGTTGGGCCTGGCATCCACAGGACAGCCCCCAAGGCCGGAGGTGTCTGATTTGGGGGACATACCTTGCCCAAGGACCCCCCCCCCAAGGCTTGGGCTCCAACTCACCAGCCAGCAGGCCAAGGGCAGGGGTCCAGAGCAACAGCAGCAGCAGGAGGGAGGCTAGGGGCCCCCGTGTCCTAGGCCTGGCCAGCGCCATGGCAGCACGCGCCTCTCAACGGCTGTGGGAACAGGCGGCCGAGCCGGCCCGCGCCCCCCTCTCCCTCCAACCAGCACTAATGCCGTGGACAGAGGCCCAGCCCCTCCCGGCCGCCCGCCCGCCTCCTCCCCCTCCTCCTGCACAGGCCCTCCCAGGCGGCTCCACCTCCAGCCAGATTCTAGGGGAGGGGTCTGACCCACTCGGCTCCCCAGGCCCCTGGACAACAGATTGACCTTGTCTCCCTGTCTCCCGGCCACCACTCTCCTCCTCTTGACACCCTCGCCCCCCATGCTCAGCCCTGCCCCCTCAGCCCCGGTGAGGCTGCTTCTTCCCCAGAAGCCGCCAGTGACTCCCAGGTTCTCAGTCACCCCCACCCAGCTGGGTGGCCCCGTCTCCCCCAGCCCAGACCCCTCTCTCCAGGCCCCTCAGCTCAGACCTGCTCAGTAGCTGCCCAGACCTCTCTGCTCAGAAGCCTGAGCCCCCCAACTCAGTTTGTTCCTTCCCAGTGCCCCCCAGAAGACACACCAAACTCTGAACCCCAATTCCTCACGCTTCTCCCCACATTCTGTCAATCTCAAACTCCTGGTGGTTCTTCCTTGGCAAAGTCTTCTGGTTGGTCCACTCCCTCCCGGGCCCTCAGGATCAGGCCCAGGGACCTGTGTCTGGTCTCCCCCACCCTCACCACCCCTCACCACCCCCACTTTCCCAGTTCCCCTCTTTGGTCTAGACCTTTGGCTCTGCTGTTTGCAACCCCTGAAACCCCACTGCAACCCCAGGCAGCCCCTCGGCTGAACAGCGCTGCCAGCTTGCCTGCTGGGGAGTCCTTCCTGCCTACCCCAGTCTCCTGCACTAGATGTTTGCTTGCTCAGGCAGGTCTCAGGCTGCGAGGGGGTGTCAGTGGTGGACACCTGGACCCAGGATCCAGACCAGTGTCTGCCTCCACTCCCTCGGCGCCAGTAAGGGAGAAGCCCCTGCCGGAGGCACCCCGCTGGAATGAGGCTCAGGCCCTGCCGGGTCCTGTGCTGTCCTGCCAGGTCCGACGTGGACGCAGTAGAGAGCGTGTGAATGGGGGAGCCCCGGTGGCCCTGGAGGGACAGGCGATGGTCAGAGGCAGCACAGAGGACAGAGCAGAGGGGTCAAGGCCGCTCCACCATGCTCTCGCCCCAGGGAAATGCCCGGAGGAGGATCCCAAGGCCTGGGTGGACCCCTTGGCCGTATGCCCACCCCTTCAGTCTAGTTCTCTCTGGAGTGGAGGGTGCTCCTTGGTTTCTGGAACCCTCCTCACTCCCAAATCACCTTTAATCCCCTGCCTTTCAGACACCAAGAGCCCCCTTCCCTAAGTGGGAGCCCCCCTTCCTGGAAGCCCCATTCTGCCCTGGGGTGAAAGAACAGGCCCTGCAGCTGAGCTCCAGGTCTGAGCCCCGGAGCTCCACTGCCGTCAGCTGCGTGGCCTCTGCGCGTGGCTCCTCCTCTGGTCTCGGTTTCCTCATCTGTGAAATGGAACAACAATCATCCCCATCCTGCGAGGCTTTCCTGGGCGGACTGGCAATGCCAGTTCTCTCCAACCCACTTCTCAGAGATTCCTGAGAGATCCAGGCAGCCCCAGGGAGGCAACAGAGAGACGTCAAGCTCCCACAGCCCCTGGTCTCTGGACACAGAGACACTCCCCAGCTGGCAGCACCTTTGGCACATGCGCGCCCCATCCCAGCCCAGGCCCGGCCCTGCGGGCGCCACCTTGTGGCCAGACCTGGGAGTGTCCTGGGGTTGAGCTGGGCGTCCAGGGGGGCAGATGAGGTCGAGGGACCTGTCTCTTCTTCCTCCCAAATCTATCCTTGGCCTCTCCCTTCTGATCCCAGTGGATGTCCTGTAAGGACTTCCCTTGAGGGTCTTCCGGGAGGGGCAGGGTGGGGGCATGTCAGGAGTGGGGAGGGTGGAAAACGGTATTCCTTCCCCTTCTCTCTCCTGCACTGGGGTGTGCATCTAACCGCAGCTCCAGCGAGACCCCCAGCTCTCATGGGCTCAGGTAACGCTGTTCCCTGGTGGCCGAGTCTGGTCTCCCGCTTCAGCCTGCCCTCTCTGGGCCTCTCAGAGGCCTGTCCCACGTGGCCCACTCCCTCCCGCGGAACTCTTTGCCTATGGCTTCCCCAACCCGTGTCCTCCTGGGCTTCCCTCCTGTCTTCCTGGCTGTTCCTCACTCTATTTCCTCCCAGAATGTTGGGGTGCATCAGAGTCTGCACCCTATGCCCCTCCTCACACCACTACTGGTTCTTAATGCTGTTTCTACGCTCCTTTGATTAAACAAAAAATCTGTATCACCCTTTATTACTCTGAAATGAAATGACATGCATATATATATATACATATACATGTACATGTACATATACATATATATATACACATATACATGTACATATACTTCCCCAAAGAAAACCATGCAGCACCCTAACTGAACTGACAGGGCCAGTGATGAGGAGAGACGCTGGTTCAAATCCTGGCTCCTCCACTTGCCAGCATGGCCTTGGGAGAGCTGCTTAACTTCTCTGGGCCTCAGTTCGCTCCCCGGTGAACAGGGCTGACTTCCGTGCAGCCCTTCCCGCACAAAGCTGTGAGGATTGCATGCAGAATTATTCATGAAGCATTTAGAACAGTGCCTGGCACAGGTTAAGAGCTAAATGAGTGTTGGTTAAATGTAAGACGATATTATTTCAAATTGTAAACACTCTCATTGACTGCACTTGAAGCCATAATAAAATAACAAGCAGCTTGCACCTCTGCCCAGAGCACTCTGAAGGCAGCAGCTGCCTTTGCAGACTGGTGTGGAGACACCGCGGCGGCTCCAGTGCACAGGTGGGGCTGGCTAGGGTGATTTCCCCGGCCCGATGACAACTCTGGGTGAGGTTCTGAACAAGGCAAAGCTCAGTCTTCCTTCCATTTACATGGAACTTGTATTTATGGCAAATCCCGTGCATGTTAGGATTCAGGGCCTTATGCCTGCAGCCAGAGCTGGGCCCTCTGCTCGGATGTTTCTCATCACAGTGAACATCTGGCAGGACGTGCAAGGTCATGTGGCACGTGGGACATTCTTCGTGGTATGGGCTGTCCTACACCTCGCAGAGTAGCCAGCACTCTGGGCCCCACCCCGGGAAGGCCAGCAGTGCCTCCGGTCATCATGAAAACCCACAAATTCCCCCAAACAATGCCCAGGAGGCCTCTGACCATCGCACCAATCGCCAGAGGGACTTTTCCAGGTCTCAGATTGTATCTTGTGTGCTGACTCCCAAGTGTGCTTAGGTCAAGTTTGAATTCTGGAAATTGATATCCCAAGTCCTCCAATCTCTGCTCACCTCCCCACAGACGCAGATCCACACCCTCTGCCCCACCCTCTCACCAACCCCCACCCTCAAGGTCAGAAGCAACCCCAGTACCCCAACTTGGTGAGTGTCCAAAATGGGGCACTGGCCCGATGAGGGGCTGGCCAGATGGCTTGGCGACAGCGGCCTAGACAAACCCCGTCCTCCCCCGCCTGAAGGACAGGCTGCAGGCCCCTCCGGAGACACTAGAGGGAGCTCTAGGACAGGACAGGCTCCCTCTCCACCAGCCACCACCCTCTACCCCTCTTGGAGGGTACCCACCCTACTGCTCAGAGGTCATCCCTGGGGGAACTGCCAGGGTCTGGCCAAGTCCAGTGTCTCACAGACCCAAGCCATTTCATCCTCCAGCCACTGGATTTGCAGGGGAACTTATTGGGGCAGAGACAGACGGGAGCAGAGTTGGGGGCTGCAGTGATGACAGCTTGTACCCCAGCTTACCCTATGCCCTGCCTGCTGCCCCCAGGGTGGGGAGGGACTGACTCCACTAAGGCCACACCACTGTCAGAGGCAGTGCCCTCTTGACGCCTTCCAAAAACATATGGGCTGGGGAGGTTCCCATGAGCCACCTCCCCATCACCTAGGGCCGTTGATAGCATTCCAGGAGGGGCTATCCTGGCAGGAAGCAGCACCAGGTGCAGGGAGCAGGCAGGTGGCCCAGTGGGGGCGGGAGGGAATGAGTGCATGGGGTGCTACCAGCAGAGGGGAGCCCTGGCAGGCCTCCTGCAGGGCGATGCCAGGACAGCCTGGCATTTGCTAAGGAGCCTGCCAGATGCTGAGAGGGGAGGGACAGAATCACAATTTGGGGAGAAGCGATTGGCCTCTCTCCTTGAGTCTAAATGGCACAATCTTTTAAATTTTTATGAAAACAAAAAATGAATGACAAATGGAGACGCTGAAACAGGAAATCCATTTCCTTTCAAATCTGATGGAAAGAGCAAATCCAAGTGCAAAGTAAGGCTAACAGGATTCTAATAACCTGTAACAAAACATGCCAGCTGTCCCCGCTGAGCTCCCTACGCTGCCTCCTCCCGTGCACTGAGAAGACCCCACCCGAACCCTGTTTGAAAACGGCTCAGCTCTTGTGCCCGCAGGGGAGCCAGGCCGCAGTAGGGCCGGGACGAATCCAGGGTCCGATGGAACAGACCCTGACCCCCAAGCTTGGGCTTCTCTGTACACGCCTGCTTCTCTACACACGTTGCACACCACACACACGCACCCACAGCCCTGTGAGGCCAAAGGCCCGCATTCTGGTCACTGGACTCTGCCTCACCTCCAGCTCAGCCTGAGACCCCGCCAGGCCCCTGCAAGACCTGGGGCTGTGAGGTGGTGAAGTGCTGCCCCCTAGGGGATGCCCAGGACACCACGCCCTGTGGCGAGCGCTAGGTTTGACCCATAGCGAGCACGGAGACCTCCCCCAGGGGCCCAGCCCCAGACCCCACTCTCCTGGCCCCAGCAGGGCACGGAGGATGGGTGCGCCCCAGGACACCTGGAGGGGTGGGCTGTGGAGGGATGCCGAGGGGAGCTCATCTACTGCAGGGGTCTGGGAGTCTTTCTTCCTTCATCTGATATTTAATGAAAACCCTTTGCTTAGGCAAAACAAAGCCTCTGCCCGCAGGCAGGCGCACGGTGGTGGGAGTGACTGGGCACACCCAGGGCCCAGCTGCTGTTACACATTG